ACTGTGAATCTGCAAAAAATGTAAATAACACAAGATGTATCGTGGTTCACCCCAAGATTTGGGCTACATCCACACTGATTATTGTATTTCTCTGTTTATGAGCCTTGTGGCTTTGTATGTGAGGGAGAGAGATTCAGAGCCTCTGAGGGAGAGAGTGAGGCCTCTGATGGCCTAGGAATTGGTCTCCTCTAATTATGAGGGTGATGGGTCCTTTTATAGAATAAGGGCTCCTCACTTATTACATATTTGCCCCTACCTTTATTACATAATTACATTTGAGTCTCCTGAGTATTTATACAAGATCTAAATACGGAGGCCCTAAGTATGGTACAAACATGTTGCAAGTTCACTTTGGTTGATGGCGGCCGATTGAATGATTAAAGGGAGGACAAGGTCTGCAAATTAAGGATCACACGTATTGCCTTAACAAAACCCTAAAAAGAATTTGGGCATTGTGTCATATTGTGGAAACATACACATGGAAAGAGAAAGGCAAAGGACATGAGTGGAGAAACCAGGCTAGAAAGTAGAACAACCCCATTTATTTGCTCCCATGGAGTACCACCCTTTTGCTTCAAAGTCCCTCTCATGTGATTTAATACAAGCCACGGAATAAAATCTAGTGCTCGCTTGGCGTGTGGGTGTTTTTTAAAAGTACCCCCAATATTCGAGAAAAGGGTCACAACGATTCTTTTATAAATTAGTAGTTGAACAGTTGTAACCCGGAGTTGTATACACCGCAATATTCAATTCTCCAATGATTGCATCATTGACGGGGGAATGCTTATTATTGTAATTATATATAATGTGGTAGTACGGAATTGTATTTGAATTTCTTTGAACCAGAAAATAAAAGTTCATGAAGACATAAGGGGCAGTCCAATTATACGGAGATAATTTTCCACACTATATATGGTTTGCTTTCACGCTGCTCCACCAAAAGATAAAAAGAGCACAGTTTTTTTGCTTGGCACCCAAAGAAACACATGTTCATTTGAAATTATTTAAACTTTTGAAACATAAAATTCAATTTTTCGGCCAAATGTCGTGCCTTTATGTTTTAAGGCATCATGATATGTTTTTACGAAGAAAAAAAATACATTATATTATATTATATTAACATGAGATTACTTAGCATTTTGCACGCATGTGTCCTATTTTTTTACTTACCTTATCTCTACATATTTAACAGATCAAAACATAAAGTGGGTGCAAAACATAAAATATTGACGAACATAGTTGCACTTTTGCATTAATGGTCCTCGTGGTAAAAGGTAATCAGAAGATAGTCCATGTGGTAAAAACAAATTAGGAACTTAGATTAATGGTTCCCGTTGTGATATGATAACTGAACTTTAGACTGAGTTGATCGGTGAAATAATTGTTTTATGCATAATGCTTGTGTTCCTTTTATGGGGGACTTGTCTCCAAGGTTTTACAAGACCCTAGGAGCTAGTCAGGTAGCAAACTGGGGTTTAGCTCTTATGTGGACTAGGCGGATTTAAATAAATTTATTATATATTGTATAAATAGTGTCTGCTTATAAGTAAAAAAATATAAATTTCATTGGGATACATAAATTGCAAAATTGAATGACAAATAGATTATAAAGTATCAGAACATAACAAAAATATGGGAAACAAAGCATATAATGGGTGTTTATTCAAGTATTTACAAGTGTCTTACAATTTATTAAAAAATAAAATGTAAAATAAAAGTTATATATTTTCTGTCTAAACGAGATTCGCTACCTAGACGGGTTTGGATGGTCTAGGTGGGTGCCTACACAGGTTCAGGCACCCTTTCGTAATTTCTAAATGCCTACATATTACTCGGGGTGGTGGCCAGCCGCCTAGCGCCACGTATTTCTACAACCGTTCTTGTTTCCCACATACGAGTAACGAACCTTAATCGTCCAAACATCATAATCAGATCGTTCATTTTCTTTATCATCATTAAATATTATATCTACAAAAAATTATTCAACTTGGTGATCTTTTAGCCAATCACATGCATAAAATAAATAAAAGGTTTATCATGATGATGCTGCTTGTTACCAAAACTATTGATTGGTTTAACACGTATGGATGACTAAACGATCTCCAAATTGAATAAATTTTTGCAGATATGGTCTTTAGATGATGATAAAGAGAATTAATGGTCCCAATAATGATGTTCGAACGATAAAGGTTCGTTAATCATAAGTGAAGAGCCATAAGCATTATCCTACTTTTATTCTAAAATTTAATTTATTTTTATTCTTTTTCCTGAAATAGTAAATGTGCTTCTCTTGAGCATTAGTTATCAATGATGTTTTAAGAGTTTTTTTCTTTTTTTTTTTAAGGTAGGATAAAATTTCATTAAACAAATCAAACGAGAAATCTTAGGAATATAATATCATTAGAACGAAGCAAAAAAAAAAAAAAAAAAAAAAAAAAAAAACAGGACAATACAAAATCTAGGCACATAACCACATCCAACCAAACAGAAAGATAACACTCACGAGAACAGAAGTCTTACATCATCTTCTAATGAAATTGTAAAAAATGAAGTTCTTTCTGCAAATAAACCCTACTATGAGACATCAAGAAGCGTCTTCACAGTCTTTTTTCGGGTAAACAGACAACAAACCATTAAAAACCCAAAAAAGAAAAACACAACACAAAATAAACTACTTAGAAGTATGATTCGTCCACTGTGAGAGACTCATACGATCATAACTAACCAACAGGAAATATAAACTCACAAGGTTTAAATCCTATAAGTTGGACACAACACCATCAAGACGCACAACATAAACATCGTATCATATCACAGGAAAACTTATCAATGACTAGCAACAAGAAAACATGGTTATCCCTCAAACCAGTGCAACAACATTACGAGGGAAAGGCTCCAACACCTTTTGATAATCTTGCAATCATCAAAAGAAAAAAACCCTGCTATGAGCCAGTTGGTCTAAAAAATTACACAATCTACGTGGCGCACAGGTCGAAGTAACTAAAAGCTAACTACGTTCTTCAGTGGCTTGAATGTTGATGCAAGTTTCCTAATTTGTCACCGAGCTCGGTCAGACAAATGTCTTGAATGTGGAGTATGTAGTGAAATGTTCTACTAACTCCTGAACTGGAAAATTTGATCGAGGAAGGAACACTCTCGGTCTTAGGTTCTATAACCTGAAGATAAGGTTATGCAAATCACCGTGAAGTTTGGGGTCTTCTACACCAGGTTTGGTAGCCTCAACTACATTAAAGAAAATATGGATCCACCGAAACAGTATCAAGCTGTATGGACAAAGAAACCTAAGGGAGATAAGTTTCTTTATTATAAAAGTTGTTTAGCCCTCTATATGTTGAACTTCAAATGCAACCTGAGCATATGCCAAGAAGGCTAATGAAGTAACCTCTTTCAGTGAAAAAATCAAAGACTCTTCGTTGTCTAACCAAAGAGTTGAAACTTCTGATTCTACAACTCCAACCTCATCTAACTAGATAGCTGCCTTGCTTCTGGAAATCCCATCTAACCAGACAACCGTCGTCCATCGACTGCCAACCCAAACTTGTCTATCCAGTTAAATTTTACGTTGACGGTTGGTGAACAATTTGTTTGTTTTTCTCAAAAAGTGTGAGAGGATCTCTCGTAGAGCGTTGGTTTATGTATGGAATTGGAAGGTCATCTCTATGTTGCAAATCCTCTTATTTTATAGGAAAACATTTCTTGATGCCTAAGTTTGTCGAATTGTAAAATCTTGATAGTACTGTAACTCCTTGACAAATTATGTAAATACATTTGGAATTAGGATTATGAATCTAGTCTTTTGAAATTATATCATCACCAAGCCTAGGTCTCTTTCACTTGAACTAGGATTCTGAATCTAGTCTTTTATGTGATCATTTCATATTTCATCCAGACACAAGTTTCGATCCTTAAACAATCTAATTCAAACCTTATCAAAATCTATCTCAATCCTTAATATCCTACCTTTTTTATGACTCGACCAAGCCACAATCCAATCCTGACCTTTTAAGCAATCCCGATTCACCTCAGACTTGACCAAAACTACTAGCATCTCTCTACTGGGCTAAGTATTTCGCCATTGGGCCGAGACTCGCAGCCTTCTTTTTAGGCTAATTCCTTGTCAGCTAAGATCCATGATTTTAGACCCAAATAGAGTCACTTCCAACAAACGTCGAGCTTCCTCCTTATAGTTCTATCTAAACACATAAACCACAAAACCAGCACTTCAAATTGGAACAAAAGTTGTCGCTTCAAGATTCGAGGTTGAGCAGTAAATCATAACTGCTACAAAAATGCTCCTCCTTAGAAGGAATGACTAATCACTATCACAAAGGCTCTCTTCAATAAAGCGAGAGAATGATCACTACGTAGAAACATGAAAAGAAAAAGAATGAAGAGATCAATAAGCATTGCTACTGATCCCAAGGCCAAATATTAAATCCGCAACAATAGGTTTTTTCTTTGATTTTTCTCTAGCTTGACAATGGTTCTTTGTTTTAAGTGGTTTTTGAATATTCAATCTGTAAGAGCCTTTTGCTTATATATAAGTATACAGATAGGTTGATATAATAACAAGAAAACAATACATCGTAAAACAGATTTCAAAGAACTTGCTCAATAGGTCATCATATGATGTGGCATGGGGCTTGGTCAATATGAATTTGTTTAATTAAATTACACTGTTCAATTACGTGCCAATGTCAGTTTCTCATGCATCATCATGGAAATATAGTAACAATTGGATGCTCTGACTTTTTATTATTAATTGTTTTTGCTCAGATATTAAATATGTTTTTTAATTATAGAATGAATAAAAACATTCAGTTTCTTATGAGCAAACCCCACATGTGACCAATGAACTGATAGGACTGCTTTTGGAGAGCCTTCAAGACTTTAAAGTGCCTTTCCTGCTTTTGTTAAACGGCTAAGCGAGAACACACGTACTCGGCATAATAAAATAGACGAGGGAACAGACAAGACAACTTTTCACTATATAAACGCCCTAGAGCCCTTTACACCATCTTCAACCACCCAAAAGAATAAGTCCTTTGGTTCTGGTTCACATCCAATTCCCACATAGAAATCCCCATGGCCTACCCTAGAGTTGGTGCCACCACCATAACCACCGGCGTCACCACCGTTGACTGCCAAAAACAAGTCCGGTCATGGCGGCTTCTTCGCTCTCTCATCGAAGTTCTAATCCCAACTTGCAATTGCACCTTCGTAGAAGATGATCATCATCAAGAAAAACTAAACACCAAACAACAAAGCCACGTCAACAGATACTACTATCCCCAGCCAAGCTTTGCTTGCTCCAACAACATCATAATCGGCACCATATTCGGATACCGAAGAGGGAAAGTTAGTTTCTGTATCCAAACAACCTCCCAGTCCAACCCAATTCTCCTTCTCGAGCTAGCCTTGCCCACAACCGTTCTAGCCAAAGAAATGCAAGGTGGGTTTCTTAGAATAGCGCTCGAGGCAGCTACTGATCCAAATAGTTCTTCTAACTCTCTTTTGGCCACGCCTGTATGGACCATGTATTGCAATAGTAAAAAAGTTGGGTATGCAATCAAGCGCAAGCCTTCAAAGCATGACATGGAAGCACTGAGGGTGATGGGATCAGTTCTGGTGGGTGCTGGGATTATTAATGGGAATAAAGAGCTGAATAATTATAGGGAGGGTGATGAGATTATGTACCTGAGAGCCAATTTTCAGCGAGTTTGTGGTTCAGCTAATTCTGAGTCCTTTCATTTGATTGATCCAGAGGAGAGTATCGGCCAGGAGCTTAGTATTTTCCTTTATCGGTCAAGGTGACCAGGGATTTTGTTTTGTGTAATATGTTGTATGTATTTTGGTTTTGTAATTAGCAGCTAGCAACCCATTATTTTTACGGGATCCTCCTTTTTTTGAGCTGTGCTTTGTGTAGCAGGGCTTCTTTTTGGGGTACCATTTTCAAGGGTTCCCTTGTTAATATACATGTATTTGATTGGAGAATAAGCACTATGGGGGGTGTGTAATCACATGTATCCATGCCTTAGTTAGACCAAATAATCATATACTGGTGGCAGAGGTATAAGAAATTGGAAGATAATGAGTATGGCTAGAAGTTCTTGTTAAATATTTTGCATACCTTTGATATGAGGAACCTTATTGTATAACAACTATAACATATTGAAGTCCCCCCTCTTTCTTTTTTTTTAAATGGGATGAGAAACCAATTCTTGATTGTTATTTTTTCATCAAAGAACAACTCTTGGTATTAATTTAGCATAATTGTCCTTGAAAAAATATTTGTTTGAACTCATAACAACAAGGCATAAAATTATTAGTTCACATGTAACGTGTTATAATACATATGAATTTGGGTTAATAAGATTCTAGTACCAAACGATAATTTCTCTTATTATTGGAATTAGTTTAATTTGAAAATTATAAATGTCATGAATATGCATGCGTATTTGTTAGTCCAAAGTTCAAACTCCAAAATGATTAGTTTTGGGGTTTTAGTTTATTCGATCGATCACTAAAATATACTGGGGTGAAAAACATATTGCCTTCCTATGGCTAGTTTGTACCCCTTGCCGAAAGTGAGATGGCATTCTTTTTTATAAAAAAGTTGGTGTGGTTGTATAAATTTCAGAATGGGTAAAGCAGTAGCATGACTAGCTGTTGCTGATTCCTTGTGTCGTTGCATTAAAACCTAGACACCAAGGCAGGGTTCCATCATATTGTACTGCTGTCTGCTGAAGTGGAAAGTGGATTTATAAGTAATTGTCGATCCACACTTTAATTTTGGACGTAATTGTATACATTTTCAACCATCCACAATATAGTGCATGATCACTAGTTTCTCCGTCTTGCGCATGTAACTAGGGGTGGTTTTGGTACATTACCGTACCAAAATCTCTGTACCAATTACCATACTAAATATTTGGTACGGTAAAATCTATTATTATTACCGTATCAAATTTTTGGTATACTGAATATCAGTATACCGAATAGTTTGGTTGGTGTGGTATGTCAATAGTAATTGCCATTTTGTTTTACGCCACTTAGTTTGTCCAAAATCTAATATTTTTTAATTAATGTAGAAGTGTAAAAACTATAGAAAAAATATATAAACGCTCATAATGACAAGCTTTGCAACTTTCGTGAAGAGCTTAACTTTGAAATTCACCATTATAATCATATAAATCATATATCAAAATTTAACTGTTGATTATTGTTTATATTTACGCTTCATTTTTCTCATCAATTTTTTTTTTTTTTTTACAGATTTTCTTTTTTGAAATCATGATCTATTAGAGGATGCAGGAAGATGAACGGTTTGGATCGTTGATATTATGTTCCGAGTTTTATGGTTAGTGAAAATATTGCTTGATGTTTATAAAGTTTCTACAAACTATATGACATCGACTCATATTTCAGTTAATCGTAAATATCGAAACGTGAAATAAATATCCAAAACCATAAAATATTCATTTGTAGTAAAGAAAAATGAAATATGGTACTACAAAGAAACCCTTACCCTTAACTCAATAGTCATGCAATTTCATATTAGGGTGCTCTTCGAGGGAAGACCTAAAAAATAAATTATTCGAATCCCTAAAATACATTAAGGAATAGACCGCACAAAAACATATGGAAAATAGTAGCGCAGCGGATTTACCAATATATATATATATATATATATATATATATATATATATATATATATATATATATATCAATAGTGTTAAAAGGGTAATAAACAATAAAGCAAAATTTATAATAAAATAAAATAAAATAAATAAAATATAAATAAATAAATAAAGAAAAAAGAAAAAGAAAGCGAAAAAAACAGTGTCGAAAAGGTGTACTTGAAGCATTTTCAAAGCTAATTACAACTTAATAAGTTATGAAGCATTATTCAAACAATTTCCTACTTGCACTCAAAACAAATTAGCTACACAACTAATTCCTATCATTTCAAGTAAAGATTCATCTCGCCTTCTATCATTGGTTTGGTAATTAATTGGTGACATTTTTTCAAATACCGGGTATTCAAGTGGTACTCTAAATATCATAATACAAATAGACGAAATAATTTATCTTTTCGTGTTCCTCCACCTATTTTATGACTCATGAAGTACCTGCTTCAAACCTTGTGAACTTCTTCAACATTGAGACGTTCTGCATTTGAGCACTCTACCTGGTGAATCATGCCTTAATATAACAATGATGACGATTGTCTCAGTTGTGTGCTCGTAAAAAACGAAGTTTTGTCCATTCTTTTCTCCTGTAAAATTCAACCGTCGGATTTGTTGATCTCAAGACTCGACCATCCATATTCAAGGTTGGGTGATTCCGATATATCTTCATTAAATATGCTCGGATCTCTTGATTTATCTTCTCAAAATTCCCAAATCTTTCTTGTTCCAAAAGTGTTGAACTCTTTACCACATCATTTGGTCAAAATTTCCTAGCCCTTATTCACTATCTTGCTTGATTTCTTCAATCCTTCTACAATTTGACTCCAATGCATGGCCTATCCTGGATGTTTCTTCCTAGGCCAATGCCTAGACAGAGGTTGCGCTCCAGAGTCATATGAACAAGATCCTCAAGGTAGAAGCAGATTACAAGGCTGAGTTGGCCCGTCGGAATTAGCAGAAATGTCAGTTGCAGGACAGGAACGCAAATCTGGAGAAACTTCTAATGGAGCGTGTTGCATTGTGAAGAAAAGAGGGCCAGTGACTTAGCAGCGCATGTGGCTCGTCTTGAGGCTGAATCTACACATTCGTTAAGGGCCAAAGACGACGCGGGGTGTACACTTGCAGCAGAGCGACCGACAGAGCAACCCTCCAATCAAAACTGGATGACACCCAGCAGGAAGCAAACTTGAAATATGAGATGCATATTGAAGCCATCCAGCAGGCCCTAGACGATAATGCATCAGAGCTGGCAAAGGTCCGCACATTGTTTAAGACAGTGTCAGCTTGGAAGTACTCTGAGGGGTACGATCAGGGCTATATCGCATGTTTAGCTAGCTAGGGTCACCATGACGGATGGGATGCTCATCGAAAGCTGGCGGTAGGTGTGGGTTCAAAATACCGAAAACCGAAAAAAACCGAAAACTGAATCGAACCGAAACAGAAAAAACCAAACCGAACGAAAAAACCGAACCGAATTGAAAAAACCGAACCGAACTGAAATAATTAAATTAATATTTTTTTAATTTTATTTATTTAATTATTTGATTTTATTATATTAGAATATGATACTTCGAACTGCTGCTTTGGTAGGACTTGTTTGCTTTCCAATTCAAATTGTCTTCTCAGCTTCTCCATCTACAACAAAAATTAGAACTTGTACCATTACATGCAATATTTCTAGTTTATATCATTAAGTGCAACACATATCTCAAGTGCACTGCAATTGATTAGGGAAAGCAAACAGCGTATAAAAGTCTCATGAGTTTATTAAACACTACGAGATCAAAAACAAAATTCAAACTTTATCACCTATGGCCAAGTATAGTAGCTTCCGTGGCCTAACAATTTTGAAAAGTATATCAATATATTCAAAATTATTGATGAACACCTCTTCAAAATTTGCTGGTGGTAGAAGCTGAACACAGAATGTAGAAATTATATTATGTAACCACATATATGAATAAAAAAATTCGGACCATAAAGATAAAGAAAATATCAAAAATTGTTACCTAGACAATAATAAAAATAAATAGTATATTATAGAATGTTTATCTTATTGCTAGTGAAGAATACATGTAGAGAGAGAGAGAGACAGAGAGAGAGAGAGAGAGATTGAGAGAAAGAGAGGAATGAATAAGGTCGTACTCCATCATCATCGTCTAAAAAGAAATCTATTTACAGTTAAACTTTAAACCCAAAATATTAAAAAAAAAACCTTTATGTTATAATTCTAGTTGAACTTTAAATGTTTATTTTCATTATTTTTAAGTCTAGTCGGAATATTTATGTTATGATTGTGTTGGATATGTTAAAATTTAAGATTTCAAATTTTTTCATTTTAAGAAAAAAAAATTGAAACCGAACCGAAACCGAACCGGAAAAAACCGAACCGATTTGAACCGAACCCACCCCTAGCTGGCGGAGGTGTAGAGGGCAAAGTTTCCAATTACTCCTTATCTAACAATAGAGGCTGCGGAGCTAGAAGCCTTCGAACACTACAAGAAAACATGGTTTAAATGGCAATAGACATTCATTTGATTATATGTGACAAAAATCTAGCGTCACTCACATCACCTATATGTGACAAATTTTACATTCGCCACATATTTTTAGTATTAATGATGCCGCATTCGTCATTTGTTAACTTTATGTGTGATGGAATAGACGTCACAAAACACACAAGTCAATGACCTATAAGTTCGTCACATAACAAATGTATACGTGAGGAATTTATCATCATCTAATCTGATCCTAGAATGCTATGACTGAGGATAAGTGAGAGCAAAAGCACCCCATATTCCTTTGACACATGGCGCAATTTGTGTCGCATATGTCAAAATCATATACCTATTAGGAACAATTCGTGACGAACCAATTACCACATATTCCCTGCTTCGTCATTTGGTTAATCACTTTTCATTGATCAATAATTTAGATAACATCCAGTACATATACCAAGTGTATATTCTAAAAGCTAACATAAACATTGTAACACATCTAGACATATTGAGACGCTAACAAGATTATAAGACATTGAGTTGATAACAAAATAGGTATACCACGTGCATGTTTGAAACCAACAAAAAATACATAATATAAGTCATCATCCATATCATGGTTTTTATTTAGCACAAGTATCGTTGTCATTTGAAAGATCACCATCACTACTTCAAGTGCTTCTTGAATACTGATGTGGTCATATTTTCATATATTTTTAACATATATTCCCTTTGGATTTTGTGTAGTTTAATGGGTTAAATGCACTAAATTATATTGTTTTAATTTATAGGCATTCAATACTAGAGTTATGCGAAAAAGAAGTGGAATACAAGCTTTTCGGGTGTTTAGAGTAATTCTAGTGGAGCAGTAGACTAATTAACTGCACAACGACATTCATTATAGTAAGAAGATGAGACAACAATTGTTTTAGAGATCAAAGACATGAAAATGCTACTCAATGGATTATAAAAGAAAATTTAATTTCT